CGCTGTAGGCGCGCGCGCCATAGGAGGGGTTGCCTCCGCCGCGCGGAAGAGCGGACCTTGGGCGCGAGCGTTCACCCGGTCACGTGATGCACGCCTTGACCTCGATTTGCGCCCGGAGAGCCGCACGCCTCCCTGCCTCCGCGCTTTTTTTTCTCTCCTCCTCGCTCTCCCAGCGCAGTTGTGCGCCGCTCTCTCTGCCAGTCAGCGGCTTGCCTCCTCTCCTTCCTCCGCGGTAGGTTTCCTTTCTCCATCGGCCACTGTGACACGGGGGCTTTTGTTTCGTCACGTAGCCAACTCGTCGAGGAATGTTTGATGCGCTGCCTGCCTCACGTCGCCGGAAATGGTTTCTTCTCGCGCGCGCACCTCATATCCCGGTAATAACTGACGTGTGCGATGCGCGCAGTGTCCGTTGCCGCGGGCGACACGAAAAGCTCCTCGCCGCGGCAATCTTTTTCGGAACGAGGCCGGAGTGTGCCGCACGCGGCAACTTCTCTGCCGCACCGTGTTGTGCGGTGGGCTGGCGGCGGCACTTTGGGCCAGGCATCTGGGTCACGCCTGTCGGCGGAACTGGGTCTGCTCTCGCCGGCGCGGAAGAGTCCCGGGGCCTTTTTTGTTCGTATTTAGCCCTTCACGCCGACGGAGAAATGTGGGACGGTCGCGTAGCACCGCGTCCACTTACGGACCGCTGTATCTTTAGGTTATCGAGCCACACGTTTAGATACTAGACTGGGAATCCCTTTGCAGTAGGACCCAATTTCAGGATAAGGGCGGATAACACTGGTTTAGTCTCAGCGTTGTTTAGATGCATGCGGCAAAAGCAGCTGTGTTGTCTAGTCTATGGATCAGCACATTTCACGTGCAGGTTATTTCAACACAATGTACATCCAGAGTAATATTCATCGCCGTATAACATCAAACATCAGCTCCTCTCCTGCCCTCGAAAATCAACTAACGTGTATCAGTTGCAGAGCACAGCAATGCAAGCTACCAGGCAGTTGCGCATTGTCCGGTCGGAATGGGACCGCCGTTACCTCAGCGTTACGACGCGGTCGTGGAGACGACGGCAGCAAAGGTGGTGTGCCTCTGGATATGTGGAGAGAGGGGGAGGTGTCGGCTACTTTCCCTGTCGCCCCCCCCCCCCCCCCGTTCGCCGCCTCCGGGTGAGAAGGGGGGCCTGCCTCCTCGGCGGCGGCGCATCTAGGTCATGGCTCGTTGGCGCTGCCGCAAACTCCGCAGTGGTACTCGTTCGGCTTCCCGAAAGTAGGCCCCCCTCTTGCTTGCCTCTCCGACGTCGGCCTCCTTTTTTGTTTCCGGCTCCAAATTGGGGCCAAGTTCGGCGGCGGGCTCAACCGTCTTTTTTGCGTTCTTCTTTTCTGCAGCGCGCGTGTTGCGCCACATTTTTTGTTTCTCCTTCCGCGCTCTCTCGGCGGCCCCCTTGGACGTGCGCGCCGTGGCGTACCCAAAAGCATCGCCACGTTGGCTGGTTCACTTACGCTACAAACACTTTGAAGCAACTCTCTTTGATCAGCTGCAGTCGACCTGGTTTCACGACCAAAACAGGTGGTTCCCGTGTTATGGTACGGGCTATGATTGTGCTAAGGCTGGTGGCGTATGCCGATGTCCAATCGTGCAGAGAATGGCGCTTTGCCGCTCTTGACGCCGTAACGATATGTGATATAAAAAGTGTCGTAGTTCTGTATTGCTATGCGCTTATCCGCACTCACAATATGGTTGGCACGTCGAATCACGGATCCGTTGTATCCTGCCGGAAACAAGAACGTTGCGAAAAGCTTCGAATGGCGTTGCCACGAAGGGTACCGCTGTTATTGCTGCTTACCCTAGGTGGCATATAAAACACGTTCGGCGATGTGTTTTGCGCTGGCTAGGAGTGTCGCTATTCTTGAAACGTTTTGTGCAGCTTATCGAAATGCTCTACATGAAATTGCCAACGTTTGTATATAATAAATAAGGTTGTTGTCATTGCGGGACATTCCTAGATGGCCCTTAGTACACGCAGGAATAATTTTGGTCGCGAGAGACAGGAGTGTAATGCATGGCTTAAGCGGATAATTAGGTTCGCCGCACGCAGCTGAGCATTGATGACGCACTTGGAACGCGACTTCCGCTATATATTACGTGCGATCGCGTAAGCGCCGCATTTGCAGAGTTTTTTTCCAAGGGCATCCATAAATATAGCGGTTTGTTCTTTCCCCACATTTCAGCGTCGCGTCTTCGCGATTGTCGGCTTTCCACAGAACGTAACATGCAGCGCGGCAACAGGTGCAGCCGAGGAGATGCGGAAGCCTCTCCGCTCGTCTCTGTGGGATCATGCGGTGCGACCGGCTTCAAATTCATGAATAGACTTGACTGCGAGGGCGGAGCTGCGAATGCTTTGTTGCAGCTGTTTTCACAAGTGCGTCGACCGTGCTTATGCAACGCAGTGGAGAGGGATCTCTGAAGAGCGGCGAGGCTTCGTTGCTGTGCAACGCTTTGTACCAGCTGAAGTAGTAGTAGTAGTAGTTGGATGTTCAAACTATTTCACGGTGGCTGTGTCACGCTAGTACATTTGAACGTGTTTACAATAGAACGTCTGTTTAAACGAATACTTCCTTACCCACTGCCTGTATTCGCGTGTGTCCCGGTATTCGGCCTTTTACAACGAAGTGATCCATGTAACGAAGTCTTTTGAGGGTCCACAGTAGTTCACTTACAAGGCGCTTGATTACTCTCAAAACACGCGCGTTTCAGCCAAGTGTTGGTATATTAAGTGCTGCCGAGTCTCATAGAGCGAGCGGAATAAAGACCAGAATATGATTTATGTACGCATAACTGTCGCATTGCTTCCTAGTGATGTCGTACGCATCTCTTCTGGGCTCTAGAAGTCTCATACTAACGGCGGCCGATAGAAACACTGGCACGTTTTGGTAGGGTCGTGTTTGTAGGCGCCTGCGGCACAGCCGCAGCTTCAGTAACGGCGTCCCGTCACTGGGTCAGCAGGTGTCGCCGCCGCTATCGGCGTGGCGGAAGTCTGCTGCGCCGCTGCCGCCCGTCCGGGATGGAGCGATTCGCGCGCCGTCCGCGACGCGGCGCTTTTCAAGGTCTCGCTGGCCGAGTTCGAAGACCCCGGCGCCCAGAATACCCCGGCTGTCCTTGATTCTGCGTCACGGAAGTGCGCCGTTTCCACCCTCCCCCACTTGGCGACCGCCGCGCTTTTCCTTTCTCTTAACGTCGCCCCCTCCTCTCCGTTTCCCGCTCGCCCACTGCCGCAGAGCACGCCCGCTGCTGCTTTCTCCGGCCGCCGCTTACGCAATTTCGAGGAGACGACTCCGGTCCGCCCGCCCCGTTTGTCCAGCGTGTGTTTTCAAAAACCTGGAATAATCCCGTTTGGAAGGAAGCCCCCTTCATTAAGCTGCGCGCCCTCTTGCCGACTCTATTGATGAGCGGCCTCTGAAATCGTGGGGGTAGATGGCGACGATTTCACTCGCCCTCTCAACTCCTCGTATCCTTGGCGCGTACACAACAAACATCCGCGTTCTGCGATATCACCCAACGCGGCGCTTCCAACTGTGCGACGGTTCCCCCCCCCCCATCCCCGTTTCTGCGTATCAGACGTACCGATCCCTCTGCGAGATAGTTGGTAAGCTCGCGGAGCCGCGAATCGGGCAAAAAAGAAACGGTCTCGCTTCCCGTCTCGCTTTCCTTTTCACTAGAATACCGCAAGTTGTTCAACAGCGACGGAACGTGTTGAGACGACGTCAAGATAATGAGTGCCGCGGTTACTAGCGCGAGTAGTTCGCCATCGATTTATGCGAGGCGCGTATTAGTGACGTGAGAGCGCGCGCTTAACTGGCTGATTTACGCGCCACGTGTAAAAAAAAAGGCTTTGCCTGCTGCTGCTGTTCGCGAGTGTTTCCCGTGTTCCGAAGCGTTGTTAACCACTCACTGCATGCCGGTGCTTTTCTTTCGCTTATTTTTTTTTTCTTTCCCTTTCCGACAGATATGGCTGCAATAGTGGAATGCGTCTGCGACACAAAACCTGCTGTCGTTCTAGAACGCTTCGAGTATTTACGGCGGTTTTTTTTTTTTTTTCCTCTCAAATGCGGGGGTTCACGTTCATGTGCAGTAGCAAGCACTTTACGTCGGCGACGACGTTTTAGCGCATTCTTCAGTCGTGGGGACTTACTTGCTGATAGGAGTTGGGTTATGTCTTTGTTTGCCATTTCAGAATGATTACATCGTAATAAACGTCAGAAGATAAATGAATGAAACGGGGTGTGTTGTCTTAAGTAGCACACTCCAATCGCCACGTTAAAGAACCCCAGGTGGTCTAAATTTCCGGAGCCCTCCAAGCTACGGCGTCTCTCGTAGTCGTATGGTGGTTTTGGGACGTTAAGCCCCACATATCAATCAATATAATCAATCACTCCAATCGCGACGCTAGGTGACAAAAAATGTTCAGTTTTCGTCCTTATCGTTTCTGTCCTAATTCAAAAGTCAGTTGGACAACACTTTTCGGTGAACCATCCACTGTTGCAACCCAGTGAAAGTTCACTTTACAACATAGTCCAACAACTTTAGCTAATTACGTTATATAGCTTGTTATTGCTTCGGTATTTTTACTTGGTGCGAAGCATGTACGTTTCACACTCGCATAACATACGTATGCTTTAACGTGCACCCAAATCTGAGCACACGGGCCTGCGACATTTCCGCCTCCATCGGAAATGCAGCCGCCGGAGCCGGGGTTTGAACCCGCGACCTGCGGGTCAGCAGCCGAGTACCTTAGCCACTAGACCACCGCGGCGGGGCTACGTATGCACGATATATATTCAGAGCTGTGTTGATAGCACACCTGTTCAAACACTTGCATGTACTGTGACAGAAACTCCGTAGTGAGAACGACAGGACATGCTTGCCGTTTTGTTGCATATACTATATAGGTGTTACTTGGTAAATATGTGTGCCGCTCCTAAAAGTCCTCTTCTTTTTGTTGTGTGCAGTGGACACTAGCCCCCAGGATGTTCGGCCCAGCCTGCTGTCTCGCTGCGAACGCACCCTCCAACGGTGTAGCCCGGGTAGAGATTCGAAGACGCTGCTGCAAAACATTCTCCAGCACCAGCAGCCGACTTACTCGGCGCTGTCCACCCTGTGCAACCCGGCTGTTTCATGCAGCAGCTCAGGTGCGCGTTCTTCTTCTTACTTTGCAGTCGAAATACGCTTACATTGCCAAGAGAGAGAACTAACCATATGGTTGGATAACTAGCTCATCCATAAATAAGGATAATTTTCACCCCAACACAGCCCCCTATGTTTCTTCCGTACCGCTACAAGTTCTACATTTCAGGGCTAACGCAGGTGTCTTAATTTACGGTTAACTGTTTTATAAGTCTGGATGTCAAGTTGTGAAACGCCAGGTCACTTTACGAACTCGGCCTGACCAAAATTTCTGCCAAGAATCACTTAACTTAGCATTACAAAGGGCAGAGTTGTCTGTAGCGAAGCTTCCTTCGGAGCCCATCCACAAAAACTTATTTCAATGAGGTTTCCCCCTCTGTATTGCATTGACGGCGAGCGCGATATCATCTTCGTGTCACTTTGGTGCAAATATAATCAACAAAAGAATCATCGCGCGTGCAGATCATGCATAGGTTATCACTGACGGACGCAAACCCCATTTTTCTCTCTCTCCCTTCAGGCTCCCTTCCCCCAAGTCCTGCCGACAGCGGAGTGTCGGACGTGGACAGCAGCAGCGGAACGCTCAGCAACGACGAGTCCAAGGCACGGTTACAAAGCACCCCTGGTGAGTTTACTTAATTCTCCTTGTTTGGTTAACGACACAGTAGTTCACGTTGCGCGTGGTAAATAGAACGGCTGTCTCAACGACCGCAGCTTCTAGTCGAGCCCCCAAGCGGGGTCGTAGGCCACAATAAAAGCGAACTGTTCGCCTCTTCTGGACGTGCCGCTAACTATCTTTCAGTTAGCTCGGAACCAAATGGATTATAACATCTGAAACGTGCGGTTATCTCGTTGATATAGCTTAGTTAGTACTGAAGCCATCAGCTTAGTGTTATCCATACTGGAGCCACCATAGACTGATCGTGAAGGTATGCTAAGCTACTACCATCGTGTCTTTTATTCAGTTTTTTAATGGCTTGGTTGTCATATGTAGGGTGCCCCGAGCATGATTTGATTAATCGCAATCAACCTTTTTTCTCTCTCTCGTTTTAGTTCCGCCTCCGTTGACTCCTGAATCTCCAAGCCCGAGCGGATTGGGCTACATCCCCCCGTACTGCCAGACAGGCGTTACACCTCACGTATCTCAGCACTACAGCAACCGGCCTCCAACAAGTAAGTAATCTCCTTCAGATCACTGTACCTCTGTGCACATAAGCTGTCGTGGTGAACGCGACGTTTGCAACAAGCATCCACTTGTCCCAAGTTACCTGTCTTCTGCGTGCATTCCGTCGCTACACTCGTAGCTCCTCAGTCGTACAAGCAGGTGTCGTGCGGGTGACAGTTTCGTGCATTACCTGCGGCCACCTTGCGGCGTGGGCGTGCTGTACGCTGCAGCTGACCCAATTAGAAGGAGGCGCCCATACAGGGAAGACGCGCGCCAGAGCCGAGAGCGTTTCCCGTTACGAAACAGGGCGTAAGAGCCGGCCGTCTACACTCCAGGCCCTGGAAAGTGTGTCACGGGGCGACCTGACGATTCAACTGGGTCACGGCGCGGTTTTCTTTTTCGAGCGGGCCGCCGCATCTTGCGGCCCCGGCGAGCCGAAAACGAAGCCGCAACGACGGCGACCTTGGTTACGCTAAGGCCAAAAAATACGCCGCCGACGTGGAGCGCCTTTCAGCTCGCCAACGTGGCGTCATCCCCCCCCCCCCCCCCCACCAGCCGCGTCCTGAACCATTGACATGCAGCTGCACTGGATCAGGCGCTTACTGTATATGATATAACTTGGCACGTTGTCGGTCTATGTAGTGGTGGACGATGGTTGTAAGCATTAAAGCTCATTCACACCAGTGACTTCACAACGGTCGCGCGGCCATTCGCGATGGGCGACCTAAAAGTGACTCAAGGCGACCGATGTTAAGGCTTGCGTGCGACTTGTAGTCGTCGCCACGCAGCATTCACGTCTGCTCGTGTATGTCTCGCACTGCCCCGTGAAATGTTACTGCGCACGTGATTGGGTCAGTGGTTTGCGGCTGAAAGATACAGCAGCGAGCGCCGAAGCCAAAGCAGTCGCTTTGTGACCAAAGCGGCCATTTGAGACTCGGTCGCACGACCGGTGCCAGTCGCAATGTGGCATTTAACCACTTGGGGATGCGTATTGAGGATGTTGGCGAGTTCTGAAAGGTTTTTAGCTGCGAGCTAACCAGTAGAGGACCACGAAGCCCAACGGTAGCCTTACACCGAGGAAATATGGCGGGATGGGAGTGGTGAAGGTAGCCTAACCGCTAAGGAACGGAAGCCTGACAGTAAGTACGTAACACCGCGTGGAACGACGTCATATTCGCGGCACGCGTATTTCACAGCGCGCTTTAAAAAACAACGCTATATTTTATGGTTGAAGAACGTTAAGCTAGGTTCCCGTTTCGACCGTTAACGGCGAATGGAATTGAATAGCTGCGAAAATATGACTGCGCATTCGTATCTGTATGATTGTATGGAACCAGGGTACGTGTTACAGTAGATCGTACACAGTGGCGTTGCCGGCGAGCGGGATGCTGAATCGGGTCGAGTTTCCTAAATCCGCAGACGTTTCGAGTGTGTTCTCCCTAGTTTCGCACGCAGACACTATCAGGTAGGAAAACATAACAATAAAAAAAAATGCAGGGAGATAGAAGGCACCGTTTCGAGAGGCGCATAAAATGGTGCCGTTCAAGGAGAATGCACGGGAAAGGAGAGGGTGTGCGGTTGTCGCGAAGCCAGTGTTCCGCTCCACTCTACGTGGACGCTCTGCTTTTGTGGTGACCCCCAAGCGGGCCACGGTTGCGGTCCGCGCCCTTGTTTGGCCCCTGCGCTCTTTTCAAGGTCAAGCTCAGCTGTTGCGCCCTGGGAGGAAGCGGAACTTGGCTTTCCCCCCCCTGCAGGGCCACGAGTCTGATGGGCGGTGGTGCACGGAAGGGGCTCGGGGAGTCCGCCGCCCCTCCCAAGAAGCTATGCAGGAAGGAGGGAGCAGCCCCCGTCCTACTGAGCGAAAGAAAAGTAGGCCTAACCAGTGTGTGTGTATCCGGGTTGCCACCGTTCCCCGCTCCTTCTTCCCAAGTCGGGGCTTCTCGGCAGTTTAAAAAGCAACCAAAAGGGTGGCAAAAGTTGTCCAGGGAGCCACCGGCGGCACTCCTGACTAGTCCACCTTTTCTTTTTCTCGTACGCATTCACCGCTTCCCCCCCTGGTTCTCTGCCGGTCGGCTTTCGTCAGGCAGAGATCTATTGAGGAGAACGGAACTTGGGTGTTACGAACGCATACGTAAGAGTAGGCGATAAAAGAAACACGCATGTGGCGCTGCGGGAACCGCTTCTATTGTGTAATTGCCACTGGAGCGGTATCCGCCGCCCCGTGCAAAGAAACTTCGTACGCGAAATCGAGAGATTGAGTACGGTCGGTAGTCGTCAGCTTTAAAGCTGAGGCGAGAGTTGCGTAAAGGACAAGGAATGAACGAATTTCTCTTAACTTTCCTTTTCGGACGGCCTTTTGTACGCCCATGGGAAGCCAACCGTTGGCGCCGAGAGTGGCTATGCGAAGAAAAAGGAATATAGTGAATGGGAGCGCACTCGTCCCGAAGTGACCCACTGGGTCGTTTTCTAGAGCAGGCGTCGTCGGGCTGTTACGTAAGAGACGCCTTTGTGGGATCGCTCGCAGGGCACCTGTCTTATGAAACGATCGGCCAATGTCTGTTCCGGTTGAATAGCCTATATTTGGACGCGTTCTTAGTACCGTCCAATGAAAGGACAGGTGTAGGCGTGCTGTTTCTGGCATTTTATTTTTCTCATCAGCAATGCCCCCCCCCCCCCCCCCAAAAAAAAAATAAAAAACTGCAGTCATTCCTGGTACGAGTTGCTGGCCACTTTCGTGAAAGAATGTGTAACTGGACCACTCGAAACGTCGTGCGAGGGTGGCGGGCCTGAAAAGTTCTTGCGGTCGTCAACAGGAAACCCGCCACTTCCGCGATTGTCTCTACTTGTAAAGGGAGCGTGTGTTAACTTTGTTAAACCTTTTCGAGGGCCTAGCGCGCGAGAGAAGGGCCGCGCCAGAGCGGGGCGTTGCAGAGATTGCAGCTGATAGCGTGTCTGTTTGCCTTCCGGCTTCCTCGCTCGCAGTGGTGCTCGAAGTCCACTACGGCCGGCCGTATCCGCCGGCGTTGCTATATGCTCGCGCGTGCCTTCACTTGGCACCGAGTTTTGTGTTCCAAGTCTTCTTCGCGGCGCCAGAAAACAAGCGAATTCGAGTCGGCTGACGAACTGTCTAGTATCTGTCAGCTGTGGCGGGGCATCCGCCATGGCAAGCATAGCACGTATGCGGTGTCGCTGTTGCTAAGTTCCGACTGATAGCCCGCCACTGGCGGCCGCATTATGAGGGGGGCGTCATGCTAATGAAGGCCCGTGTGCTTAGGTTTAGGTGCGCTTTAAGAGAACCACAGGTGGTCAAAATTTAAATCCTCCCCTCCTTCCTGGTAGACGTGCCTCGTAATCACGTGGTGCTTTGGCGCGTTGAAGATCCCGCAATTATATTATAGAGAGTTAGCAATGAGATGGGCGAAAGCTATGCGTTTGTCACCACCGTGCACGAATCGCACGCCAAGCTTTTTGGGTACCCTCGTTAAGGGACGAAAGTTAGCGTACCTGCGCAACGAACGCTATTTTTGCGTATCTTGATTCACCCTTGGCATCGCCGGGATGACACCGCGCGGTAGTGGAGAGGAAGTCTGGTGGCGGCGAGGAAGGGGTGCCTGCGGGCAAGTGGCGAGGGAGCGGACGTTGTTACATGGCGCGCAGGCGATCATCTCGATTGGCAGAGGAACACGTGACGGAAACGGTCGCCCACCAACGGGCGCAGGTGAAGAAGGCTTCGCCGGGTGTGGCGCTCTTGGGCTGACCTTGGCGCGAGCCGGAGTCGTTGAACCGGCGGCTCCGCGTTTCCTTTTTTTGGGCTCCCCTTTCCTCCTCCGCTCGCCTTGCTGGCGACGCGAGCGCCGGAAAGCCGTCGCGCGGCTGGAAAAATAAAAAAGCGGGCGAAAGTGCTCCCGTTCTCTGGGGCTCACTTCGCCAGCGCATCGGGCGAGCATACCATGACGCGTGGGCATATTTTTCTTTGCGCAATGGCGCCTGCTTGCTTTCGACTCTCCTTGTTTTCCGGTTGCGGAAACCTAGCAGCGCAATCTCTGCGGTACATTGGGGGTAGTAAAGTAGACTGACGCAACTCTTCTTCTGCCCCCCGAAGTTGCCGATCGTCGTGACGCAAAAAAAAGCAGGAAGTCGTTTTCCCTGGTATGTGTATATGGATTACGTGCACGCGCCCCAGCGTTGTTGCTAGAGGGAGGCGAACATTAGCTGGAAGCGACCATCGAGGGGGGGACTCTTTCTTCTCAACGCGGCAAACCAGTCTTGTCACTCTGGGCCTTCCCGGAGATCGGGCGGAAATTGAAGTTATGTGTAGCCCCTCTCGAGCTGGATGGGGGACCAGCTCGCCCAGCCGGCTTCCTCTTTCTGAAAGACGAGGCGGCGGTATTTTTTTTTCTCCCCCCCCCTCCCCCTCCCTGCATGGGCGTTTCTCAGGCCTCAAGGTTAGCGGGTCAGTGGCACCAGGGAGGAAAAAGCGAAGACGGGGAAAGCGTACAGCCCTCCCTCCATTCTCCACTGTGCCAGCAGGCACAAATGGGGGGCGCCTTCTTCGGGGTCCGCTACGCTTGTTCCGTCGATCGCCGCCGCTCTTTCAGGCAGGGAAAGGAGATGATCTTTGTGTCGGCATATCCTCCTTCCCGCTGTGGTGTGGGACATCGATGAATAGGATATATATATACTTCTGTGCCGTAAGTGTGGTGAGACCAGTTCCCGCTGGTTGCGTAACGTGTCAGCCTCGTAACTGGACATCACTTCCGCCCGATGTGCGACCCCTGGGGGCGTGACGCATGGCGGTGTACTTTAATATAAACGGGGTATCAATATCCGTCGTACTCTAGTGAAAATATGAGCAATAACTTTGAGCACTTTACATGTCCCTCAATACTTTTCGGGGCGAGTTGCTTTATATGGAGCAAGGAAGTGCCAACCAAGGGCAAGCAACACGTACACACAAGGGCTGTCCGTTACTGAGATAATTGTCACTGCGCAGTGTAGTGCGATTAGAAGGCAAGTAGCGTGGCTCCCATCAGACGAAGAGCTCACATTTTGTAGTAGTTGTAGAACTGTTTTGTTGTGAGGCTGTTCAATGTTTGTACTTGACAAAAAAAAGAAAATCGAAGTAGCCCCGAGCATTCAGCGTCCACGAGAACGCGTTTTAATGTACGAAATGGCCCGTCGCAAAGCGGTTTGTCAGCGTGATTGCTGTATGGTCCCTAGAATACTGGCAACATATTTTAGGGACCATAATTGCTGCGAGCCCCCCTGCGTTTTCTTGTGGCGAAGGAAGGTGAAGCCGGAACACGTGAACGGCAGGCAGCACTGCCTGCCATGTTTCGAAAACAGGGCAAGTCGCTACGCGATGGAGGAGGTACTCTTGAAAGAGAGCCAACGACAGAAGCCGCGTAGGCCGAAGAGCAGCAGTAAGCGGGCCAGCAGAGCCTGCTTTCAAACGCAGTATTAAAGAGAGAAATAAAAAAAAAGACACTCCTGCTGTCTGCCATTGTGCGAGCTCTTCCGGCGAGCTGACGTCATCGGCGTTCTCCCCCTCTACACCTGCACTGCCGGAGTCAACACACCTTTCAAGGTTAACCGGAGCTGGCGCGCTTCGGGCGTACAGCGCCGCTGTGTGGAGGCGCTTGGAAACGTAGTTGCCGTCGGGCGCTCGTCTGTCGTCTGCTACGCTTCGTGTCGCCGAGTTGGCGTGGCTAAGCGCAGCACTCGTACAGTACTATTCGGGATTTTCCGAGTACTTGTAGATTGCGAAGTTATCGCCTGAAAAGTTGGCCGTTCTTGAGGTGCGCAAAATCATTTCGGGCGATGCTGATTCTTTAACTAACAAAAGTCCTAGCCTGTAAGGTTATTGGTTTAGTTGAAATGAATACGAGTGCCCCTGTCTCTATCAGGACGTTGTTTACGGTTTCTTTCGCACGTTCTCTCCTTCCTCTAGCTCCTCCTTTTCGCAAACTCCCGGCCCGTTTTTCTTTCACTCTCGCTTTCAAGCGGTCTCCCTGTCTGTCGCGTTTTGTGCGCAGGAAACTCTTTGATTTCCTTTTGAAGACGCGCCGGAATTCTGCTCTTGGTACCGGCAGTGCTTTTACGCCGCGAGAGGCCCCGTCTCACCCCCTCCCCTCTTCCTGGGGCTGGCTGGCTGTCTGGTTGCCCAAAGCGTTGCATGGCAACCCGGGCCTTTGAACCCTGCGCGCTCGATTCGGAACGGGGTTACTATGGCAACAGAGCCACGCAGCCCCGGGGACAATTCCGCCGGAAGCGTCCGCCACGTATCGCTTTAGGCTGCGTGCTTTCCTCTCCTTTTCACCTCCTCCCATATGGGAGTACGGGGGCGGTGTCGGAGCCGTCGCCGAAGCCCTCGCTAACGGAGCTCTAATGCACGCCGCCTTGGAGCTCCCTTCTTTGATCTGGGCCAGTATGTTTGTCACTAGATGTACCCCAAGTACTTTGTCTAGCAATTGAAAAATACTTCTCGTATAAAAAAAAATAGCTTTGAGCAACAGTAACAGCATTCTGACCAAGCCAGCTTGTCCTCTGGGTGGGCTACCATGTAGAGCAACGAAGCACACTCACTCTTGTTGTTCTGAACTGAACAAGTCAAGTCCTTGAAAATGTGAACGCAGCTTATGTGTCCTGCTACTTCGTTTTCTTCTTTTTTTTTTCGATCTGTACACTTGGAAGTTTTTACCACTCATATTGAAAAGCCACTAATAAAATAAATCTACCTCTGAAGAATCGCAGTACTTGAGTACATTTAAAAAAATGAAGTGATTCCAGGGTACCACTACCATAATCTTAAATGAGTAAACATTTTACATCATGTAAACAATGGAAAAGGCATGTAGGCCTTTGCCAATCACAAGCATGACACCGGAGTTTGGGGAATAGATAATTGTGCTCGGGTGACTGTATAACTCAATCTCGCGACTCATCATCAATTGCTGTTCACGTGGCATATTCTCGTTTATTATGAAATTTGGTCAGAAAAATTAAGTTTGTGCTCTTTGCTTGCCAGCAGTTGCCGAACTGCAGCACATGTTCCCACCACAAGCTCACTACCGGCCGGGAGGCTCTCTTGGCTCCGTGGTGCCTCACGGGGGTAGCACCCAGGCCAGCTACCTTGAGGCAGCAGCACTCAAGAGCCCAAGCCACACCCTCGCCTACCCCACACCTCTGGCTCAGCACCAGGGCCTGCCTCTGACCCTGACCCAGTGTGGGAGCTTGCTTCATCCACCAGGCATCCCCACCCCAGTGATCGCTCATACACCCAGCGAAGACATGGGATACTTTGTTGAGGACCTCTCTTTCCAGCCACCCACCAAAAAGAAAGGTGAATAGTGCTTGTTTTCCAACATCTCCCTCTGCCTTCATCATTTTCTACTGCATGCTTTGTGGGTTGCTATTGCGTGGTGATGCCTTCAACTTTTTTAACAAAGTTTTCGTATTTTTCAACTCTCAATCATGCATTGGTTACACAAGTGAAATAAGCTTCACTATAGCAGCACTAAGTGGAGGTAACATTTATCACTTAAATGTAGACAACTGGATCGCAGTTATAGAAGCAGATTTTTGTTACTTTAATTGTTACTTAATTGTGAACTGTTTGCACGTATCAGTATTCCAACTTTTGCATGTTACTGGTGCATGCCTTGTTCTAAAGAGCTTCTTAACGACTTCGCAGTCTAGGTCCAGCATATCAGTCTTAAGATGCCCAGCAAATTACACTTGGGTGTGCTCTGATCTTTGTTGGGGTTTTCTGTGGCTAAGGTGACTGAGACAAGTTTGTGCTCGCCTGGTGCAGGAAGGAAACCAAAAGCAATGCTGCACGATGCAGGGGGCCCTCTGAGTGGCCTGGCTTCCTCTTCGTCCTCGTCGTCTCTGAAACAGCAACGCAAAAGCCGGGAGGGATCGACCACGTACCTGTGGGAGTTCCTGTTGAAGCTGCTTCAAGATCGTGACTACTGCCCCCGCTACATCAAGTGGACCCACCGTGAGAAGGGTGTCTTCAAGCTGGTTGACTCCAAGGCTGTCTCCCGCCTTTGGGGCCTGCACAAGAACAAGCCCGACATGAACTACGAGACCATGGGACGGGCGCTCAGGTTAGTAGCCATTGCACGGTGGCAAGGGGAGGCAAACTACATGAATTCAGAGATAAAGCACATTTAACCTATCATCTTGGCTTGCTAAGCTTATAGCTACATACGAGTAGTATACTAACTAGGTTTCTTAGGGTTGCATGCTATGGACCAGCATTATCAGAGCTTCGTATAAAAATGATATATGCCCTAGGCACTCGGTTTCAGCTGTGTACCACTACCATCATGTGGGTAGTCTTTAGCTACACTGAGAACTTCTGTTGTTCTTTATGCCAGCCCATAGTACACTGTGTTGCTGCAGAGTCTTGACCATAGCCAATACTGTTCTTCTACAGGTACTACTACCAACGTGGCATCCTGGCCAAGGTGGATGGACAGCGTTTGGTCTACCAGTTTGTCGATGTACCCAAAGACATTGTGGAGATCGACTGCTCGGGGGCGTGACTGGGTGGCAACAACACCCTGCAACTGCAGAATCTGGGACCCCATACTACGTGTCTGTGATGAGGAGAGTCTCTGCCGGCAACCCCCTCTCCACAAGATAAAACAACCCCTCCCTTCCTGGCCCAAACCTGCTGGAGCGGGATTCCGGTGCAAAAGAAGAGAACATCATTGCGGGAGTGGAGGCCACTCCATGATGACAGAGACAATGGACACTATTATGTTACAAGTGAGAGTGGTTTCGCCGCGTTTCGTGCCCACAGAACCCGCCCCAACGACCACAAGTCCCAAATGGTGCTGCAAGCCTTTCGAATAGCTGTTGCTTGGAACTTTGTATTGGCCTTGGCAGTCACTATTTATGTGCGTTCTTGATCGGGGCTGCTGGCTTTGCCTGTGGAGGAAGGAGTACCTGTACTTTTATTATTTTTTTTTTTTCGGATGCGACATCCACTGACTGGCGGCCTACTGGTGGACAGGAATCCATGTTTCAAAGATATCATAAAGCTATTATCGACAGAGTGGTACATAGAGATACTATATAAGAGATATACTACCTATCACAGTTCTATGTGGACACAGAATGGTGTTTTCCTTGTAGGTGCAGACATCAGCAAGAAGAGCTTCTTTTACCAGGGTTGAGAGATGGAGATATAGGCCACGATTGTCTGTCATTGGAGCTGTCAGTTTAGTCGGACCTTTTCCAAGGCTTCGACAGGCGTGCTTTGACAAATGTGTGTCAGCGCTTCATCTGAAACGCTGCACAATGTGATCACACAAAACAGCCTAGCTATAAATTCCTTTCTCGGTCTACCTTTGGAAAAAAAAGGACACAATTAGAGACCTGGCAACATATTGATTATACTGTATGCTCATTGCGTCACCACCAAAACGTGGCAGCTCCAATGCTAGTAGTGCACGAATAGTGTGCCTGCAATTTTTACAAGTGTGCAGCTAGAAGGGATTCCCTAGCCATGACATTCTTACGATGTTCAGATTGTGTTGCTGATGGGAGCACTCTTAGCAGTCACTGGGCAGAACAAAAAGCACCTGGCACCAGAGGAATCACTGTGTTTGTTGTCGTTCCTCAGAAGGCCCGAGTTCACCATGTCTGCGCCTGGAACAGCATTGTGTCCCGTGATCCCCTTGTTGTGCAGATCTTTCTGGGTGTGTCCTTTGTTCATTTCCTGCTACACTTCGTTGTCGTGTTAGGTGCCTGGCCACTGCTGGCTGACCAGTATGGTGTTGTGTTACAAGGAAATCAAAATTCTAACGATTGGCGTCTCGCTAACCTATTCCACTGCGTCGCTTTGCACGGACGGGCAGTGGAGGGCCAAAAAAGAAACAGAACCTAATTCAGAAAAGTAGCAGTATATAGCAAAGCTGCAACATGCATGTTTGTTGAAGGTGCTGCGTACAGACCTCAGTGTTTTGGACACGCCGTCACATGCCGTCCCCCGATTGCTGGATACAATCCTAAGCCTTCGGAAGAAAAGGTGGAAAGTGCTTTGAAGTGAAGTGCCGACAGGAAAGTGCTTGAGACTCTTTTTGAAGTGAAGGTCTCTGTGTGAGAATGTTGTTGAGTTTGAGGACGAGTCTGTTGCAGAGTTTATACGAAGAGTGCATAAAGCAAATAAATTCTAGTAGCGACCACTTTACACAAACCACATTGTACATAAGCTCAGAATTAATTGCACATGCCTCCTTTACGAGTGCACAGGGTGGTATTGGGCCCAATGTGGCAGAGGACTGGAATTATTGGAGCTAAAAGAGCTTTTATTTTTATTTCTTTTAAATGTGTAACTGCTTTGGGAGACCAACAGCTTTTATGAGACTACGTTTTCCCACCACCCTTCAGTGAATTTTAGCCCAGTCTTTCTGGCTTCAAAAGCTAATAATTTCTCAAAACTTGCTTAACGGCAGGCCATCTAAATTAAGCTTGAAAACCTATAAGGTTGAATTACTGGATGTCTTGGCAAGTTCAGGTGTTGACCTCAAAGAAAAACCAGTGTCCTCGTCACATTGTTGGGACCGCTATGGCGGCTCAGGGGTGGCCAGAAAACACCGAATGATCCTTCCAGTTTACATTATTGTACATATTAGCCAATGGCATCAGAACATAAGACAATGTGAACCAATGCTGTTCTATACAGTTGTGTGCACTGTGTATCTCAAGTCACAAAAAAAAACAGCATTTTCATTTCGGTTTACTTAATTGAAAGACGTCCTACAGGAGAAGCATCGGGAGAGACACTTCAGATAAGTGTGTGCTTCATAAGGATGTGTTTTTCTTTTAGCTTCATCTTCGCAAAAATGAATAGATACCTGTACATCTTGGGGGTCTTTTCTGTTTTGGTAACATTGCTTCACCTGTGTCCCCCCCCCCCCCCCCCCCCCCCCGTTTTTCTCGGCTCCCCTTCCTACATCCTTTTTTTTTTTTTCTTTTGCTCCATGCATTGTATAAACATGCGACATCAGTTTTGGCATACGTCACCTCTCCCCCAAGCGGGCAGAGACGTGGAAGTACACTTGTGAGATTCCATGCTTTTAAAATATATTTTCATGTGTTGTGCTTTGTACATACCTATGTCCTAATAAATTTAATGTACTACTTTGGGAAAAATGGCTTTTTTGTTTTTCTCACACCCCAAAAGGCACGCGGGACATCACTCACCCGTGGATGAAGGGCCCTTGTGGCATATTCCTTAAAGGGACACTAAAGTCAACTATTAAGTTGACGTTGATTGTTGAAATGGTGGTTCAAAAACCTTGTAGTAGTGTTACTTTTGTGCCAAGGAACGGCCTATTTTGAAATAAAATCATGTTTTAGTGGTCTGCATCGATTATCACACTTCAAATCACCCGCCTCAAAAAGTGAACTGACCGAACCAACTCATGTCACTGTTGCCATGCATAACGTTGCCCGGCTTTACTGCGCTAGTAGCAGCAGACCGAAAGCAGCGGGAGCCACAGCAGCAACAGCCATTGATCAATTTCCCTCCATTGGCTCCGAGATCGCAGATGCTTTTGTTTCAACTGTGCCCCGCTAGATGGCACCACCTGTCCCGTGTAACCACACGAAAATTGAATTTTTGAACCACTCGCGCGACTCCCCATAGTAATGTTTGGCAGTTTTTTTTCCATCAATCAAACAAACGAACGAGCAGCATTTTATTGCATATCTTGATGTACGGAAGGTTCTTTACTTAGTGCAGTTAGATTGATTACTAGTGATTAATCGTAGGCGGTCCGTCTGACGTCATCCGGATCATTCTGAAAATGTCCGACTGCAGCGCTTGTGTTCTTATGCATTTACCTTAATTTCTCGGTAAATCAGGCACTGTTGTTGATAATATTGTCGTTTTAGGTGTTGTCATACATTGAGCTTTCACTGTGACGTAAATCGTTATTTGACTTTAGTGTTCCTTTAGTAGTGTAGGTTGCCTAGCATACCGACATGTCTCCATTTTACGTCCAAAGGGACATTAATGGCAAGTACAATGCTAGGCTACACCTCAAGAGTAATGCTTCCGGATGTAGCAGGGGAACAGATAAGGTAGATGAGATGAGATGTGGTATAGATGAGAAATATACGAAAATAAGCGAGCAATGTCTAGAACGGAAAACTCCAGACCGAGATTAAACAAAGACTGAAATGACAGTGCCACTGCGACATCATATAGTCTTCATTAAATCTGAGTCGAACACTGGTGTTGTGTAACAAGTTTTTTGTTCGACTTCTTTCTGACAATGGACAGTAAAAGATTACACGGTGCTGGTAGACATGCATAACGTGAAATCGAGATACGAGATGAAAATCTTGAGCACAGGATGGCTGCTCCACAGTGGGTGGAGAATGCCCAGGAAGAAATTGGCCTCAAATATGTCCATACTACTGGACCTTAACTAGTAGGCCGCATTGACAATAAACTTGCCTCTGAGAAGGTTGGAATAGTTAATAGGTCAGATTTGGGGATGAGTGGAGTTAATAAGAATTCCAGCTGAAGGACGTCGAAGATTTTTGAAGAGAATCTGGCACTCTAGGGTTGCAACACCATTTCAAACCCAAAATTAATAAAATCTGGATGCCGATCCTGAAATAGTTGTATTTATTGGTTGTATAACAATACATGGTAATCCTGCTGGAGGTGCCTCACAAAAAGACAAACACACACGTTTAGAAAATTGATGCCAGTGAGGCTCATGAAAACGCTTATAAAAAATAAAACAACAAACTGGGAGGAAAGAGATCTCTCCAGGCCATCAAAGCAGACATAAGACACCAATAGTAGGAGTCAATTAGGCATCAAGTGCAGCTTTTAAGCCTAGTGATGACAATTCCAACAAGAAATTAGACCATACAAAGAACTAAAAGAAGAAATGAACAATTTCAAAAATCATTGAATAATATTAATAGCTAAGGTAGGTTGCTAAACAGAGGTAGAACATCGTTTATATGTGCTTGAAAAAGTGATTAAAAGTTGCCCAGGAAAACATTGTGTCCATTAAGCACAAGGAAAAAAAATCTTCTGGTTATGCTTGAAAAGCAAAGCCCTGATATGAGATGCCAAAGGAGTTCGTATTCAAGCTCTCGGCGGTTCCCCTTCGAGGAGAGAAGGGGAGCCGAATGGACGGACTGCTCTCCCCCCCCCCTCTTAGGCGACCAGAGAGAGGCGGCCTCCCTTCCTCGCTCCCCTCGTGTGTACGTCTACGAACGGCAGGCGACACCTCCATTCTTCGCGACAAAAAAGTTGGCTTCCCTAAGTACACTTCGTTGGAAAATGTTTCCTCCCTTCCTGACTACACCCGAACGAAAAAAATTGGCCCGAATCTACGTTAGACTGTAAATGTCGTAGGAAGACGGTAGTCTTGCGTCTGGAGAGAGTGAACAAACCGTTTATTTGATGTTCTGCGCAAGAAAATCGGTTAATGGAATTCTGCAGGCGCTGCGGCCTCGAGCGTGTAGCGGAGGCGAACGAGCGCATCTAGGCACGTTAGGCACAAGTGCCATCTGGCAGTTATCTTCGAAAACGAAGGCGTGCAGCCCGCGGAGAAAGATGCGCGCCAGTCTCGGAGGTGATAAGGTGTAGAACGCAAAGCGACGGACAGGTGCCACCACCCTGACGTCGTAGCAAAGCGTAGGAAACACCTTTTTGAGCATCGCGTTGCACTGTCAGCGCAGCGCGATTAAACGCTACATTCCTTAGAGTTACTTGTGTGTGCCTCTTCTAGTATAAAGGCAAACATAGAAAACACCGAAGCGTTGTTGTGGCGCCCCAGATATGTGAAATAATTGCTTTTTAATTGACAATCGCACAACTATGAACGCTAAACCTTGAGCAATATTGGTGGGCGCTGCGGAAGGGGTTGATCGTTTCAGGTATCGTTAGAGTGAACAAACAGACAAATGTACACACAGACCAACATTTTTCCGTCGAAGGTCCCCAAGAAAGACCATCATCTTTAAAATACGCGTAGTAGGATAGTAGCTGCATCGCATCACACAAAAGTTTGGCTTTATCATGAGCGATAAGGGTCACAGCGTTTCCGACTGCTTTTCGACGTCTCATGCAGTGAAGCCTACGCATCAGCGGAACTTTCACTTCGAAACGTATACCCTTACATGCTTAGCAGATCCACGCGCAGGCTGTGACGTCAGACAAAAGTTAGTCCTTATCTTGAGCGATAATGGGCTAAACTTTTTCGACTGCTTTTCGACATCTCATGCGGTGAAGCCAACGCATCAGGGGATCTTTCACTTCCAAAAGCATCCTCTTACACACTTATTAGATCTATCGTTGAGAGCTGTGACGTCAGTCAAAAGTTGGACCTTATCATGAGCGATAACGGCCTAAACTTCTTTGACTGCTTTTCGAGATTTCATGCGGTGAAGCCATCGCGTCAGGGGAACTTCCACTTCGAAACGTGTACTATTACAGAGTAGGTCAATCGCTGCAGGCTGTGACGTCAGACAAAAGTTGGGCCTTATCATGAGCGATAAAGGCCTCAACTTTTTTGACTGCTTTTCGACCTCTCATGCTGTGATGCCAACCCATCAGGGGAACTTTCACTTCGAAACGTATACCCTTACACGTTTAGTAGATCCACGCTTCAGGTTGTGATGTCGGACAAAAGTTGGGCCTTATCATGAGAGATAGCGGCCTAAACTTTTTCGACATTGCATGTGGTGAAGCCAACGCATTAGGGGAACTTTTACTTCGAAATATATACTCTTGCACACACCGTAGATCAATCGCTGCAGGCTGTGACGTCAGACAAATGTTGGGCCTTATCATGAGCGATAAGGGCCTCAGCTTTTTCGACATCTCATGTGGGAAAGCCAACGTATGAGGGGAACTTTTACTTCTAAAATATACTCTTACACGCTTAGTAGATCCACGCCGCAGGCTGTGACGTCAGACAAAAGTTGGGCTTTATCATGAGCGATAAGGGCCTCAGCTTTTTCGACATCTAATGTGGGAAAGCCAACGTATGAGGGGAACTTTTACTTCTAAAATATACTCTTACACGCTTAGTAGATCCACGCTGCAGGCTGTGACGTCAGACAAAAGTTGGGCCTTATCATAAGCGATAAAGGCCTCAACTTTTTTGACTGCTTTACGACCTCTCATGCTGTGAAGCCAACACATCAGGGGAACTTTGACTTCGAAACGTATACCCTTACACGTTTAGCAGATCCACGCTTCAGGTTGTGATGTCGGACAAAAGTTGGGCCTTATCATGAGAGATAGCGGCCTAAACTTTTTCGACATTTCATGTGGTGAAGCCAACGCATTAGGGGAACTTTTACTTCGAAATATATACTCTTGCACACACCGTAGATCAATCGCTGCAGGCTGTGACGTCAGACAAATGTTGGGCCTTATCATGAGCGATAAGGGCCTCAGCTTTTTCGACATCTCATGTGGGAAAGCCAACGTATGAGGGGAACTTTTACTTCTAAAATATACTCTTACACGCTTAGTAGATCCCCGCCGCAGGCTGTGACGTCAGACAAAAGTTGGGCCTTATCATAAGCGATAAAGGCCTCAACTTTTTTGACTGCTTTTCGACCTCTCATGCTGTGATGCCAAACCATCAGGGGAACTTTCACTTCGAAACGTATACCCTTACACGTTTAGTAGATCCACGCTTCAGGTTGTGATGTCGGACAAAAGTTGGGCCTTATCATGAGAGATAGCGGCCTAAACTTTTTCGACATTGCATGTGGTGAAGCCAACGCATTAGGGGAACTTTTACTTCGAAATATATACTCTTGCACACACCGTAGATCAATCGCTGCAGGCTGTGACGTCAGACAAATGTTGGGCCTTATCATGAGCAATAAGGGCCTCAGCTTTTTCGACATCTCATGTGGGAAAGCCAACGTATGAGGGGAACTTTTACTTCTAAAATATACTCTTACACGCTTAGTAGATCCACGCCGCAGGCTGTGACGTCAGACAAAAGTTGGGCTTTATCATGAGCGATAAGGGCCTCAGCTTTTTCGACATCTAATGTGGGAAAGCCAACGTATGAGGGGAACTTTTACTTCTAAAATATACTCTTACACGCTTAGTAGATCCACGCTGCAGGCTGTGACGTCAGACAAAAGTTGGGCCT